CCAAAAAGCATCTACTTCTACACTCTGAAGTAGTGTTTATTAACTTTTTGAGGTACTTCACAGTAACAGCTTAATATGTGCAGTCACTGAACACTTCTTAATACTTGTAACGTCCACATTGACAAAATCCGAACGTGAATCCTATGTGTCGGGGGTGTGTCTTGACCTCCGTGGAAGCCCTGAGACTGACTTACCGAACCTCTTGGGTTCGATGGAACCCACTGTTCTAAACTTCTGTGATTTTCCTAATTTTATTCGTTTCTTCTTCCCATGGAGCTTAGGCGACACTTCCTCGACTGACTTGATTTTTATGAAGATCTAAACCTAATAATCCTGCCTCCCCCTTTTCTATTTTAAACGATATCCTTCATGACTTATTTGGTCCTTTTCTCTTCCTCTTGCCCCATGAACCTAATACAAGCAGCTTTATAGTGAAGATATTTTCTGTCTTTCTGATATTGTGCCTTAACCACCACCTATTCAATCGCAACTGTCTATAATCTAACTCAGAGCCATACAGTATAAGAGACTTCATATTAAGATAAAGATGTTGATTGAATTTTTTAACTTGCATTTCAATTCCACATTGGCTTAGTATGTTAATTACGTTTTAAATATTATTACGATGGGGTATAGCCTAGGAGTTTATTTATAGGATGTTACTTTGTATTTATTTCTCAAATGTAAAAAAATATTTTAAAGCTTGGTTGAAGTATATGCTTTCTGGCAACAAAGTTTTTGAACCAGCATTTCATGCATATAGTACGCTTTACTGTCATTATTTTTGTGTGCTTTTCCGGCTTGTGTAAGATCTGCACAGATTGATTGTGAACTACCAATACAGGAAGAGATTGAAAGTCGAATCACCGGATGTAAAAAAAAAAAATGATCCGCCACCTGATGGTGACTCAGGGGATATAATAATATTAATAACCAGGTAAATGGCAACTTGGGGGAGAAATACAATAGGCGCTAGGTCGATTGTGATGTCTTTTGTCCTAAGCCAAAACCAAAATCTCCACCTCAACTTCAAATTTAACCGGAAATGAAAAATATAATTGAAAAAAGATTTTTGTCGAGAAACGGTATTTTAACAGGAATTAATCTTGTTCGGTAAGTAGATACTGCACATATAGTCGTACTCATATCTGTAAACCTTGCATATTAACTCTGACTTGACAAAATGCGCATTTATATGGTCAAATCACCGCTATGGTCAAAGCCTCACTGCGGTCAAACCCAATATGGTCAAAGCCCCGCTGTGGTCAAACCCCATATGGTCAAACCCCCTATCGTCAAAGCACCTGAGGTCCGCGTACCCTTCTAAATGTAAATTATAACTTTATTAAATTTACTGACAGAATAAAAAAGCACATCCTAATATGTGTTTTACATTGGTTTGTCGTGTATATTTTATAAAGTTTTATTAAATTGTAATATGTGATTATATTGACCAAAGCAGGATTATACAATATAGGACATCATAAAAAATACTATTTTGAGAACATTTACATTTTTAAAAAGATAATTACTAATATATTGGCCATTTATACAATCATTTTAAATTTCTATGCATTGGTTTTACAAAAAAAAAAACAACGATCTAGTACTTTGCCATAATTTCTGACTGAGCCATATAGTTTTTTTTAATCATTTGTGTAGTTCATAATAATTATCTGATCTTTAAATTTCCAGTTATTTGAGCAGTAAGAGACTGAAGTAATGCCAGCCCTTCTCCATTCATTGAACAGACTCAAATAGGCTGAGGAAAACAACGGTCTGCTTTAGTCTCGTCTCTGAATTTCATCTCTGACATCAAACTCCTCAAGAGGAAAGTAAGTGAATACATTATGAAATGTGTAGCTTACTTTGAAATTACTCTGTAACAAGGAATATCCTAGTAAGTGTTAGCCAACCGCTAAAACAACCTGTCTATTGAAATAACCGCGACCCTCACACATTGACAAGAAACATGATTTCATGACAAATGATCTCAGACAGAATATCTCAGACAAATTATCACAAAGTAAAATATTTAAGTAACTATGATTCTTTTAGTCGATTTTAACATTTTTGTATTTCTTGTCAAATGGATTTTATGTTGGCCTACTTTATTTACGATCAGAAGACTATGTGAACTTTTTTTGTTGTAAATAGCACTTTGTATAAATGTTTTAGATATAAAAATGCATAAAATAAATAAAATGATGATACGTTAACCGAATTATGTCAAAATATGTAAAGTATTTTCCAAAACTATTTAAGTAACTATGATTCTTTTAGTCGATTTTAACATTTTTGTATTTCTTGTCAAATGGATTTTATGTTGGCCTACTTTATTTACGATCAGAAGACTATGTGAACTTTTTTTGTTGTAAATAGCACTTTGTATAAATGTTTTAGATATAAAAATGCATAAAACAAATAAAATGATGATACGTTAACCGAATTAATGTCAAAATATGTAAAGTATTTTCCAAAACGAAAGAATTAAGATTTGGTTTTACAGGTTCGTAATGTGACATTGGTGTTTTAATTCCTTAATCAATGCTAGCCTGTCTGTTGTCCAGCGAAAATCTGACTTCTTAAAAGAGCAGATACCCCTCTGAGACGATTTAAATTTAACACATACCATAGGTTACCAGTCATTGGGATAATTTAACAATTTATTTGTTTGCGACCCTTGTTAATATGTTAAAGGCAATGGGACGAGCCTATGCCAAAAATCTTTTCTCACTAAACCATTTAGACAATCTATTTTTTGTAAGATTTTAAAATAAAACTAATATTATCTTAAATACTATACAAATTTTGCTGTGAGATATTGTCTGATATATTTTATTCTGAAATATTTTGTCTGTGGATCATTTGTCCCTGAGATTATGTGTCTTGATATATTTCATCTGGATGATTTGTCCAGAGAATATTTGTCATGGATCTATCTATCTATTGTCGTTTTGCCTTTCCGTTTTTCTCCTGTCTGACACGGTACCCTGCAATAAAGTTTACGATATTGATGGGTTGTTTGATTTTGTAACACACCCATATCAACTCAATTTTCTTTTTTTTTATAATTTAGGACACACAAACATTTTCTTCGGGAAGGTGAGGGGGGTATGTTTTTGTTTACTAACTATTATTATTAATCAATACCAGTTAAAAACCGCTCCGAAATGCACTCTACGTTTACTTCTATCTTTCCGTTTGCGAACAAGCGAGGGTATTACAGTCGTTCACTATATTGAAGCTTGAACGTCAGCCGGCGCTCCGACACGGTTCGATTTTGCGACCAAAACCCAAAGCTACGTACGTTTTAAACTGGGCGATTGGGTTTTACAGCTATTTACTAAGTGAATCAGTTCCACCTCGGCTTGGTGTGATTTGGAACCCCGGGCTATATTGTGAATTCTATGCTTTTATGTTTGTATTTAAGTTAGTATTTATTTTATGCGTTATTATAAGCGCTTAGGTTTGCGTTTGTGTTTGCGCTATGTTTCTGTTTTTGTGTGCGTTAGTGTTTTCGGTTATCATTGCGGTAGTGTTTGCAATTTTGTTTGTGTTTGTGTTTGAGTTTGCATTCGTGTTTGAGTTTGCATTTTTGTTTGCAGTTATGTATTTTTTTAGTTCGCTTTTGCTTTTTTTTTCGTTCACTTATGTGTTTGCGTTTGTTTTCGCTTTTGTGTTTACGTTGTTGTTTGTGTTTTTGTTTGGGGTTGTGTTAGCGTTTATGTTTTGGTTTTGGTTAGTTGTGGTTAGGGTTAATTCGAAAACTAATACATTTTCTAAACCCGGGCAATGCCATTATATGCTGCTTAATAAATTCACAAGGTATGGTCCTTTACAGATAGGTTTTTCACAGAGGCTAGTGCAGGGCCCGACTGGAACGGTTAGTCTAAAATATAAAGTTCGATTCTGTATGTTTGTAACCAAGCATTACAAAGGCAAATAAGAAACAATTATGCTTCTTTGGCGTTAAGTGTTAGATATCTAAAATGATCACCGTTTAAATTCATGATTTTAAAAATTCATATTGAAGGTTCTGTAAAACAATTTTCATTTTTCAAACTTATAATAATAATTGCAAGCATTTTCAAAAAACATTTTTTTTAAAAATATATCATCTTTGCCACAAATTTAAATTATGTCTGACAATTATTTACATTTAGTTCCATGGATAAATTCGAAAACACACTTACTTCCCTTTATAAAAAAACATACATCGGAGAAAAAAATTATTTTTATTATTTTGTTTTGACGATGGGAAAAAAATCATACATAACTAGCACGGATGGATCAAGTACAATGTGGTTGGTGATTTAGATACACTTTTTTATTTTTGTTTATGCACTGTTTATGTACTGAACGTACTTTCAATTCAATACAGATACCCATTCCTGAAAGAACGCTGTGTATGAATTTAAAAAAAAAAACGGAAAAAATAATGACTTTATTATACATAATATTGCCATATTTGAAATGAGGAATATTACATATATAAGTAAAACATATTTTAAAAAATAAATTGAAGTTTGTTTAAAGTGCAGATGACGGTTGGGCTGGAATATCATTAGCATGACTTTACTTCTAAGAAAACTAACAAAAAAATAGATTTTGAATCGATATTGCTTTTCTATAATACCCAGTTTGGCCTTTATATGCTTTGTATCGTGTAATGTCTTGAAGACCGTGTCCAATAAGATGTTTTAAAATTATACTACAACCATTATTTAAGCTGGGGCTAAAACTTTAACGCTTTTAGTCTTACTCAATTTTTACCCTAATAAAACAATTAATTGATTATTAAGCTTATCCTAATTCTAGTAATACGAACAATGTAGGACTATACAGAAATAAAATAATTGCTTGTAATTTAAATTTCTACTTTTCTTATTACAGTTATACAACAAGATAAGTAGTCTTAATAAAATAAACAACATAAAGCAGTAGTTTACGTTTTATAAACAAATTGCCATTACCTAAGTTGACTAACATTAACATACCTCAACACTTTTTGCAGATCTAGAATGCAGAAATAAAAATAACATAAGTTAATATAGGCAAATAAGCGATCAATAAGCTTTCCTGATTTGACAGCTATTTATACCAGTTTTTTTATGTGACAGCTTGGGAGGAGTTTATACTAATGATAATCGAATAAGTAAGTAAATCGATCAATAGGGCTTATGTAATAAGCTATTATGTAATGCACAATATAAGTGTGTCTGTCCGTCTATAGGTCTTTTAGTCTGTCCAATTGCAAGTCATTTCAACGGTATCCCTGTCCTTATGCCCGTCTACCTCACTGTCTGTCTGTATTGTGTTCGTTAATACGACTGTCAGTCTGTATTCTGTTCACGTTACTCTGTCTACCTGTCTGTCTACATGTTTTATCTGAATGTCTGGACTATATGTCTGTCTGTCAGTCCGTTCTTCCGTCTGTCCTCACGTCCATACATCCACCTTTTTGTATGTCCTATGTCTGACCTTTCTGTTCTGTCTGTTCTTTCTGTTCTGTCAGTTCTGTTCTGTCTGTTCTGTCTGTTCTGTCTGTTCTGTCTGTCTGTCTGTCTGTCTGTCTGTCTGTCTGTCTGTCTGTCTGTCTGTCTGTCTGTCTGTCTGTCTGTCTGTCTGTCTGTCTGTCTGTCTGTCTGTCTGTCTGTCTGTCTGTCTGTCTGTCTGTCTGTCTGTCTGTCTGTCTGTCTGTCTGTCTGTCTGTCTGTCTGTCTGTCTGTCTGTCTGTCTGTCTGTCTGTCTGTCTGTCTGTCTGTCTGTCTGTCTGTCTGTCTGTCTGTCTGTCTGTCTGTCTGTCTGTCTGTAAAAGTAAAGGCGGCATGGCATAATGGTGACAAATCTGTCTCTTCGTTTGCCGAAGTCACATAATCAATAGACTTTTACCTCACTTGGCCCATAGACCGTCATGATTGAAAATAAGCTGTACTTCTAATTTCTAATCTGACTACATAAGGTTACAGGAAAAATCCCCTATTGAGAAAATAAGTTTCAATGTTTTAAAAACCGAAAATAGCAAGGGTATACGAAAGTACGCATTTTACTACATTATCGAAACTAGTCTTGTATTTAAATGTGGACGTATACATAAAAAATGGACCCATATTCTGATGGATGAATGGGAAATATGGCGAAATTTCTGGTTAGCAAAGTACATTAGCATCATCTGTCAGAAGATTTGAACTAGGTAATTGTCGTATTGGCATCCGTACACTCTCCAACCTCGACAATGCCGATCCAATAATGATGTATATCTCTTGATGAAATGTACAAAAATATGCTCTGCATATGTTATTAGAAGTGTGTTTTAGATACTTATATTTGTAGGTATATTAAAAGTCCCTAGATGCAATATTTAAGATATTAATCTTCAAGGCTGTCAAATTAACTAGGGCTAGGGTAAGGTGGATATATAGATTACATTAAATTTAAATTAGCTCCTGCATAATAAATTTAATTTTTTGACAGACTTCTGTTTTATGTGAATAAATTGACCTATTGAATGTTTAAATGACAACCCATATTATTTACCAAATAAAAACCACTCACATAATTTTTTCTCAATGAAAACACTGCCCGAATTACTAGAAAAAGCTTGTTTTACTTCAACACGTGCCTTTATAAACAATCCATCTAATAGCTAACCAAACAAGGACCCGCTAGTGATAGACGAAGTCTATAACGCTCTAAACCTAATATAATTTTAAAATCAATATACCTACTGTTCCGGCTAATTGAATCGTTCGAAATCACAACTTTATGTAAGAATTAACAAGTTTTGAATGTTAGGTCTAATGGTTTGAAATGACAGGTCGGTAATTGACGTTTTTAATGTAATTAATTAATTTGAATTAAAATCTAAACTTGGCGCCTTGTTGGAGCGACAATGATACGACTAGGTTTCTCTCATAAGTATAGAAAAATAAATAATAAACACATGATTTATTGACAGTGATGGATTAATGGGTTGTACATGAGGCCCACAATTTTTCTTTTAACGACGATCGTTAAAATTTTCCTATTAATTTTTTATCTGTTTACAAACTAAATGTATGATAGAGCCAGATGTGACGGTGTGGCCTAGCGGTAGAGTCTTGAGTTTAAACCCGGTTTCAAATCAGTGTACCGTCCCATAATACTGGGTAACTAACAAATGAACGAAGGTGGCTGGGCATAGTGACACGACAACACTAACTTTTCACACGCTGAGGTCTCTAATGCGGATGAACTTCGGCACGACCCTGACAAGGTTATGATAAAAATGAATTTAATGTTATTAATTTTGTAATTAAGTATTATATTTGCAAACATTCTAGAACATCGCATCTTGACAAAGACGACAAAAAAAACATAGGAACATTCTAATTACTTACTTATTCATGTGTCTGTATTTTTAAAGTGTATAACACTTAAAATACAGTACTTAATTTCAAAATAATATGCGCATTTTGAAAGAGCATACTAAATGTAATACACTATTTAAGATCTTGTTAGCGAGCTGGATAGAATTTAAATTCAGTAGAATGAGAAAATAACCGAACAGTTATGTTACGACCAGTTATATTAAGTTTGTTTGGCGGCAAGCCTTTTATTCACAAATTTAGAAGAGCGTTGTCCTTAATAAACTAAACACAAAGAAAAAGGCACGATATAGATTTAGTACAGAATTAATAAGTAGCGATTAGGTTGAATTTCCATTCGTTAATGTATGAAAGGATTATAAGAAGAAAAGAATATACGTCAATAAAAGAATGTTTTATCTACGCTTTTCTCTCTTTCTTACTCTCTCTCTCTCTCTCTCTCTCTCCCCCTCTCTCTCTCTCTAGCTTAATTAATGGAGAAATAAAACGAAACGTGAGCGTTATTATAATGACGCGAATAATTTCAAACTTAAAACAGTTTGAAGAAGAAAAACAAATTTTAAAATCTTATTTAGATTATGACAGATTTATAGCAGTTTAAAATAAAATCAACCGATGGCAAACATCATGTTATGATATTTTTATTAAAGAACTGACAAAATTAGAACTGGTAATTTAAAAAAAAATGTAAAGCAAACCTGGATGACCTCATTATCTTTATTATTTTTTTTATTATTTTCATTCCATTTTTAACGTTAACCCTTTAAAAATATTTTATATCTCTATTCTATATGTCGGATTGCATTTCTTTATTAATAAAATTATATGTTTTTTAATAATTAATTATATTGGCGAAAGAATAAAACTGCCTTAACATAGTTATACCTTTAGAACAGGTGGGATAAGTGTGGTAAATAAATGGTTGAGGGGAAGGGTGTTCACATTAGCGGTGAAACAACACTTAGACCAGCGTCTGAATATATTAACGTGCGAGCATTTTTGTGTGTATTTATTATGTTGACAGCTTTAGCCTAGTTTAGTTTTCGTAGGCAGAATTTACCTGCGGAAAGGCTAGTCATTTTATCAAAAAATTATAAACTATACAAATGACAAAATTATGTAGAAAAATGAAGATTCTGTCTGTTTCACACACAAAAACGCAAAAACATAGACATATAAACATGTACATGGCTCCGTTTAATCTCGGAATACAATGAATTCTTCTACAGAAACTTCAGATATAAAATCCTAGTGTCTAGTACATATACATTTTTTGTTGAGGGTGGGTGTGACACCACAAAATGCCACACCGGTGACACCCGACAAAGCGAAGCCATTGCTTACTAAATAGACATCTCTTACTCTTAAGGTTATAATCAACTAACGTGCTCGATTTTGCACTTTGCCGTGCTCAGAAGAAAGTCTGAAGCAATATTTAAAAAAGATTTCATTCCTTCGTTACCAGTCTAATATTCTTAGACGTGTGACCTTGTTTTCTAAAACTGAGTTATTAAAATGTACACAATACCTGCGTTATATTTTTTGACCACGTATGTCGAGGCACGTGTTTGCACACGATCGATTAGCACACACCAGGACGTGTTGTATTAAAAGTCTTGTGTACGTTAATCACTCTGTGTAATAGTGAGGTAAAATACATTTTGGCGACTGGCGTGATTTCCACTGTTACAATATCGCAAAGTTGTCACGTACTGTCTGTGATGGGGGATTTGTATGGGTTTCTCTATGAATCTGTATGAAGACTACTCCTATAACTAATGCTCCAACTACAAACTCGTGATGAGGACAGGAACACTCTTATTTTCCGACGACACTAATTAGCGATATCAACAACTTCGATCATGAAAATTAAATAGAATTAACTTTATTATCAAACACTAATACTATAAAATATCAATACACGTCATTTTCCTACAATGGCTAACCCCCAACTGTCTTCACTGCTGCATCCTACGTCATCGGTAACATTGTCGCGTCACGCTCACGTCACACTTACGCCACAAATATTGTATTTAACACGCGCACAATACACTCCAACCAAATCGTCAACAGTCACATTTACACCGTCTTTATTAGTCTCTACCAGTCTAGTCTTAGTTTTATCAATCTACGTTATGATACCACTCAAACAAGGAAGAAACAAGTAGACGATTTCTCGCTACTAAAACGTACCAAATACACAGTTTAAAAAATATTTAAAAATTACTAAACGTTAAATTTAAAATTAATTTATTCGAGCTAAAATAAAAGCAGCTGCGAATGTGACAATGGGATGGTGAAACGGTTTAAAAAAAACTCTTTCATGCAAAGAAACGGAAGACGCCTTTGTAGGCGGCATGTTAATTTATGCCTTGCGTTCTCTCCCTTTATCGAACAAGTATGAATTTCTGATTAAAGGGGGAGGCTCCGGTAAAACAAACTTTTTAAATACTCGTTAAAAAGTAACGATCCCGTTTCAAACCTGACGGTCTATAGGGGCAAGTGAAGTAGAGTACACTTGTTTCTCTGACCTCGGCATATGAAGAGATAGTGTGGTCAGCACTATGCCCAGCCGCCTTTACTTTCCCTAACGTGAGTTAGGTACCCATCAGAGTTGGGTGGACTCAGTGACGGTCTACTGACTTGAACCCGGATTCGAACTCGAGACTTACGGGTATGCGGTCCAGCTCTCCACCGCTAGACCACTCCGTCCCACTCCGTCCGTTTAAAACACTAGTTTTAATGCCCCAAATCCCCCAAAGTTATATGTTTTGAACGTAGGCCTACACAAATTTTTAAAATTTAGAAAAAAATAGTTTGAAGATATGCACTTAATTGCTCCAAAATATGGAAGAAGATTATGAATTGATTGTTTATTGGGCTTAAAATGTAATATTTTATGAATGGTGGAAAACCTACGAAGGGGTTAATTTTTCAAGATGGCCGCCGTTTTCATAGTTACCAAGATATATCCACCATTTCTTTTAGTGGAAATGTATATGCGGATGTATCTTAATAAAGCTGTAAAGAAATAACTGTTTTTAACGAGTATTAAAAAAGTTTTTTTTTTACCGGAGCCTTTCCCCTTAAATATTTCCAATGGTTATTTCTTTATGTTGGTGAAAGAAAGTTGGATAACTCGCTGTGTAAACTAATTAATACCCTTTACATGTATGCATCGCTAACGTTGTGAGCGGTGATTTAGTAAATGCTTGAAGGGTAGCTCACAGCGAATCGTCTCCGCTGCTAATGATGTCACAAGAAAGAAATGAATAGACGATATATCGCTACTAAAACGTAACGAATACACATTTAAAATTTTGTTTGTCTTCACGGAACACAAGGGTGAGAGGGTAGGTCATTGCCCTTCTCCTCCACCTTTTGTTTACAACAAGAATACAAAGAAAAAACATCGCGCCACCCTGATTGAGACATAAAATACAAAAGCTAACTCCGTGGAAAAGATGCATCGCTTATTATCTAACCACCCATGTGCTTTTGTCCTCACAGAACTCAAGGGATTTGTGACCTCCTCCAAAGTTAAATTAATTAATAAAACTAAACAAGACTTCTTGTGATTTGATTTTAGTTTCATGTGTGTGTGTGTGTGAATGTATGTATGTGTGTGTGAATAAATTATGTGTGTCTCAAAAAGGTGTAAAAAGTCAACGCCTGGAAAAAAAAGTCATAATCAAAAGGTACTAATTCAATACATATCTATGAAAAGTAAAAAAATAATAACTTATTAAAAGTTTTCTTCTAAATGACATCAGTTTGGTTAATATATACTAAACCCGATTTATTTCCTACTGATTTTAAATAAAATTTTAATAATTAAAAAATAGTCTTTATTTTAACCCTTTATTTACGGAATTAGGTTCTGAATGAATTTTTTTCTTAAACAATGTGTTATCATGTTGTTTTTAGCACATTTAAAGCATATGTCAAAGGAAATTTCGCTTAAATAATTTTTAATGGCCCAAACAGATATTGGTACTTATAAGTACCGTCAGGAATGTAGGACATTTTTTCCAAAAACATTTGTTTTTTACAAAAGTGAAACAAACGATACAATTTATTTAACTAATAATGTGGCAATCATTATACCAATCATTTTTTTGTAATTTTCACGCATAAAACAGCTTCCAATAGCTATTACAATGAGCCGCATAATCAAACAAAAGGCTAGTCATTCAGTACACAACTACTATTAATACTAGATCTAGTATAATTGTAGCCTACTAGAATGTTATGACAAGTCTACACTGCAGTGTAAAGTTCATAAATAGAAGTGAGCTCAATGTGTTTAGGATAGCCGTAGTGGCCTACTGTTTTCTGTTTACTGATTAAAATTTACTATAAAGATCTATACTATATGCAAAAGTATGGACTATTACTATTCTAGATGTATATATTACCTAAATGCTAGTTATTGTAGACAAGACAGTTAATTGCAGTAATTTTAACTAACACATTAAATCTTACCACTAGAACTAGGGTTTGTTATACAAATGAAGTATACTTAACCTAGTAAACGAGCCTGCAACTGCTAGCTTTATTCTTGTTATTCTTTTACTACTAGAATTCAACATGCAATCACAATATTTCTTAGGTAAACCATATGCTAACCTTCTTAAAAATGTGTAAATATCATTTTTTAAGTACATTTCGATAATTAATTATCAAAATAATATTTATGTCACTCCACATCGAAAATCTGCCATTTCCTAGAAATCCTAAAAAATGACCGTGTGCCCTGACGGTACTCATAAGTCCACTTGTAAACATCGATCGAATACAAAGACAATTTGATTAAAATTGTATAACTAGAAGTTAAACGCGTTTGCCTGACTAGTAAAGGTACCAATAAAAAATATTTGGGGTTGAAAACTTAAAAAATAAGGTAAAACTAATTGAATTCAGGAACGTGTGTGAGAACTGTAAAGAACATTTGTGAACTACCGATACAACAAGACATTAAAAATGCGCCACACCAGAAATTTCAAAAAACACTAATCCCTCCAACTACCAGCGACTCAGGGGAGATAATACTATTAATTACATCAATAATTTTAAAAATTCGTATTAAATTAAAAATGGTACAGGCACTTAATTAAAGTGGTACTTATTAGTACCGTCAGTAGATAAAGGGAGGTTTCAGGGTGTAGTGAAGACTATAAAAATATAATAACAGTGTATATAAATAAAATATATACCATCCTGGTAATTATCTCACAAATCGTAGGAAACAAAATATAATCGTAACAATCAAAATACTTTTCTAAGATTAACGCTGGTGGAACACATATATTGCTTAATAAACCAAACTGCTATTGATCTTTTAATTTGCTAAGTAGTCTGACAATTACTTTTAATGAAGACAAAACTTTTATGTAAATGAAAGAAAGCGGATGAATAAAAATACTTCTGAACCTACTTAAAACAATGTAAACACAAAAAAACAACAACAAAGAAGCTTACAAAACTTGAGCTTTGAAAAATAACCGACTTTGAAACTAAAACAAAAACATAATCAAGGGTATTTAATGTAATTTCTGTTAAACCATGGCATTCTAAATTAATTTTTTAAATTGTTAAAGATAATTGATTAATATACTCTTTGATGTCTGACCCTGGTCACTATTTTAGAATTTTCAAATGTATATAAGACAAACCTTTTATGTAAATATTATAGCTAACAACTGGTGTAAAACAAGGCCAGCCTAGTAGTACCGGATTTCATACGGCCAACGTGTTTAACACTGGCCTATTGTAAGTATAAAATTTTCAATGACTACTTAAACGTGACTTTTTTTTTTAAAATCGATAGTAAAGGCACGTGGGTCGGGGTAGACTAAGGGTGCTCGCGAGTCGTGTCATATACAAAAGACAAGCTCACACAGACAGCACCTGCTCCTTCATGAGGTCATGACATATTTCCACTAAACGATATATAGTACAAAAGGTGTAAAAAAAGATAAAATTTAAATCCAAGTGGTCAACTAACACAAGTCAAAAAAACAATCAACTGGTCTACAAATGTATAATTTTTTTTTTTAACCGTTAATAAAACAATGTAAAGCAACTGGTCGGTTGATCAAGTGGTCAACAACTGAAAAAACAATTACATCCGCCTCCTAAATGCTAACCGTTAATAATAATTTTTAAAAATATAAAACAACTGATCAACTGGTCAACGAGTGGTCAAAAACAACCATCAGATGGTCACTCCTTCTCAATGCTAACCGTTAAAAAATGTAAAAGAACAACTGGTCAACTAGTGGTCAAGTTGTCAACTGGACAACAACTGGAATAACAATCAACATGTGGTCAAAAAACAGGAAAAAAATCAACAGTTGATAAAAAATCAATCGATAACTGGTCAAAAAAATCAACAGGTGGTCAAACAATCAACAGGTCCCCTCCTCCCTCCTTCTCCTCAATAATAAGCAAAATGGACCTATTATACTAGCCTCTCTCAACAGACTAGCCTCTCACGACATACCAGCCTCTCTCAACAGATAAACTTCTCTCAACAAACCAGCCTCTCAAAATACTAGCCTCTCTCAACAGACTAGTCTCTCTCAACAGACCAGTCCTATCACACAACAGACCAGTTTCTCTCAACAGACCAACCACTCTCAACAGACCAGTCTGACTATACAAGACACCAGTACTCTCAACTGACCAATCTTAAAGACACCAGAATCTTTCAACAGACCAGCCTCTCTAAACCGACCAGTCTTACCATACAAGACATCAGTATCTCTTTAAAAAATATTTCTAAGATTACAAAATAAATTAAACTTTAATTATTCTCAATTTACGACATAAACTATGGACCCAGAAATGAGAGACTTATATTTCAACATGCGAGTGTTCTATCACCAGTTGGTGAAAGTATTTAGAAGAAATAAGAAGTGTCAGTCTATCAGACCGACAATCTCTGGTGTCATTTCTATTGGACTATTGAAGTAGGACAACAAAAACTAAAGATCTTAACGGTTGTGTATGGTATCAGTTAAGTTTATTAGAACATCAATTCATTAAAATTGATATTTGCTAGACTGTCATTTATCCTTTTATATCACCTTTATCTGTACATTGGATTTGGAATGTTTTAAAACCACCGACAATAGTTTGCACATTTTATAATTAGATAACATCCGAATAATTTTATACAAAAATGAGAGCAACAAGAAAAAACAAGAAAACAATGTATTTTTATCTTGGGCATTTATTTTCTTCGAGCCGACCCGCGCGTATCACGCCGCTATTTAGTTTTATTTTCTACTTTTCAGTAATTCATAATTTGTGAATTCGACAGTACCAATGCTGTCACTGAAAATATTTCCTTTAAAACACTAAAACCCTCTTTTCCATTTTGTTTGTTTACATTGTGTACAGTACATTGTGTACTGTTACATCAGTACAAATACTCCCCACTGTAATTTCCTTCAGAGTTTGATCCACAGTGGGGATGGTTATACAAAAAACTATCATACCACCACCCGTCACATCCTATCCTGTAGACAGCCGCTCCACTGGAGCCAGGACATGTACATGTTGTGTACCAGTACCTGGTCCACCAGCCATCCCTCCTATGTCTGTGTGTCCATTGTCCTACAGAAACCTGTTTAGGACAGCCATGAGGATGTGACACTATAACGGTCAACTTGTCCACATCATCAAATACCATGTATTTGTACCATACTTCCCTACATAGATCATGAAAGCGCCGACACATATTGTCCAGTTCATTAACCAACTCTAAGTCACATGTCACATAACTCAACCTACACCAGTCTCTCTCAATGTCTGACCTACCCTCCACCTTCCAGCCATCAAGACTGACCACTGGACTTTTATTGTCATCAAAACCTAAAACACACCTGGTCTGTCTCGCCTCACTGTCATCAAACACCACGTGTCTGGCTGTCAACACATCAACCTTCCACAACACTTTGCTGGGTGTGGCAGAGAATTGACACTTGGCACAATGACAAGTTCCGTCACATTCACTCTCTGTGTACTTGTCCACACGCCACACCCTCCCCGTCCCTAACCTCATCACGTGACGTCCTCTGTCATTATAACATGGATATGGAACTAGAGTGCCTGGGTAAAACTCTGGTCTCTCTAGACTGGTGAATTTAGTCTTTACCTGGACAGTTAGGGCTGCCAATGCTTTGATTGTCTCAGACATGAGGTTGTTGTCATGGTAACGTGAGGGGAGACAACTTTCATTGAAATCTTTAAGAGGTATAAAATCTTTGTGACCTGGATTCTTCTTACAGCCAGTAACATGTTTGTGTAGATCAGCTTCTCCTCCATAGCACATCTCAGCTTCATGATTTCCTGCAGGACCACAGGGGAAACAAATTATTTAAAGAGCCTAAAAATTAAAACACTGATATAAAATGCTCTTATTATTATTTTGATTAGCTATACCAGCGGTCTCCAAACTACGGCCCGTGGGGCGGATGCGGCCCTCGAGATCCTCTACTGCGGCCCGCAGATATCTTTTTGTCCACGGAAAAAAATGTTAGTTTGACGTGACTGAAGAACTGTGCCCAGAAAATAAATTCAAAACAATTGCAAAAAGGAGTTTGGGTGCAAATACCATTCTTCGCCGTGATACAGACAAGAGTTAAAACATTGTGACTCAAATAGCAAGAAATGTAAGCAAGTTTCGCCATTTTCCAATTGCAATGGACGAGTCGCTGCACAGCTGTTCCACTTCTCAACTGCTTGTGTTCATTAAAGATGTAGATGAAGACATCAACATAACACAAGAGCTGGCTTCCCTACATATCATGTATGGCACTTTTACCGGAGATAATATATTCAATGAGTTAAAAAACCTTCTGATTATAACTTGGACTGGACTAACCTCAGTTACCTGACTGTTGATGGAGAAAAGAACATGAGTGGCATAAAGAAGGCTAGGTTGGACAAGTGAATGAGAAAAAAATTCTACAGCAGATGTTCCTGCATTTTTTTTAAATCTAAAACTACAAGAGAGGGAAATCTTAGTTTCCGACCGATAGACCGATCTTAAGACCTTTAGATCAAAATTTGTCATGTATTTGGAACAAGTACATGCCAACCACCTTACGCTTTTATAGCAGTGCAAGGTCTTAATGGCTGAAGCAACAGCTGATTTCCCCTCGTTATTTGCACGTCTCCAGCTGCATTTTCAGCAGCGGTTTTCTGACATGGATTCAAAGATAGAAAAAGTTAAAATGTTTCAAAACCCATTTGAAGCAAATGTGGTCAGTTGCACAGATGAACTGCAGCTGTGGGTCATTGAATTGCAAGCGAATGACCTCCTTAGAGACACGTTCAAAGAAGGGCGGATGGGTTTTTATTAGTTTTTGCCCAATGAAGACTTTCCTAATATTAAAACGTTTGCATCAAACTGCCTTTCAAATAACAAACCTTTTCAAGAATATAAAACGTGAAGAACAATTTGAGAACAAACTTGGACCTCAAGTGTGTTGTCGGCTCCTGACAGTGTTTATTCAGACTTTTATTTCTTCGGGGCGGGGGACTTAAAATTTGACACTTAAAATTTGTATATATTTCAATATAAATCATATTCCGTGGGGGAGGGTGGTAGACGATCTTCATGTGGGAGGGGAGAGGTTGGGCTTTGCCGCCCTAAACAATTGCCTGGAAGAAACTGGCCCCCAAACTGATATATTAATAGTTACTGCGACACTAATAGTTAATTTAGCAAGCTGATATAGATATAAATTAAACTTGTACCATGTCTTTCATTTAATCAACTATACATTTACTGTACTAAAGTCACCTATATGTTTTTACTAACACAGATTTATAATTGTTTAGACTTGAGTTGACTTATGTTTATTATCTTACCTGGAAAAAAGACACCTGTTTGGTCACTTTTTGATAACTTTACTTGAACTCTCACAGTATGGCACATCTAAAATAAACAATAAGAAAATAACACACACATTACTTTATAAATACAGTGGCAAGAAATGTGGCATTACTGAGATAAACTCTTACAGCATGATAGATAGGGCCTACCCTCTCAAAGATCATAGTCAGGTATGTAAGAATATACATTTTCATAGAATTCCTTGGGTATTGAGAATTGTATTTTTACACTTATAGATATCACATATAGGTTATTAAGGAATTGATTTTTAAAGTATTTGATGTTAAAATGTTTCAATAGTTTTTTTTATATTAGCTAAATTACTAAAAGACTTGGTCAAAAAAATAATTAAACTTTTATTTGGCTCTACCTTCAGGTGTACTTGGTAGCTCCAATTTTATTTTGCTCACTTTGTTTGGTGTATTTATGGTTTGTGTTACTGTAGATAAGAAAATAGATCATTAGTATCAAATAGTACATTGGGCTTAATAATTGCAAAATTAATTTTACATCTGCAGTTAAAAGTTCCTCAAGTTTAATAAACATGTAGTATTGTAACTTAAAATAGATTTGTTTCTTTTAAATGCTAAAAATGCTACATAAAATGTGTACCACACATTAAAACAACGTTGATAATTTTTTGGCTATCAACATAGCACATATCAGCTTATTTATTTTTTTATTAGCTTTTGATAAAGATGTTAATACATTATTTGTGATTTTCAACTATTTATTTTTCTTCAGAAGGAGTTATATTATCTGTATAACTTTTATATTATTGTTTCGATATCGACCAGCTGTCACTCACAATTGTCCACTAAACCTTGAAAACAAAAGTATCTGATTATTTTCATGGAAACAATGTTGATCAATGTTTAATTAAAAAAATTAATTTAAGTTCATAATAGTCAGAAGTGTGAGCCTAGAAGTTGAAGAGTAAGTTTAAGTTAAATCTAAGCTAATCAATATTGAGTTTAGCTCATTCTTTAGTAAACCATATAGTCTTAATATCCTTATCAGCTTGTTGTTGTTAAATTTCCTCCACTATATTTAATAACTATATCAAATGTTGTATTGGAATTAGCAACTAAAACATTTACACTAAGTTTGCAGAAACTTTAACTTATTTAAACAAGTATTATACACAATGTGAATACTTAACAGCTTCTGTGGATACATTGCCTAATCCAATTAGTTTAGAATATTTCCATGCCCAAAAGTTCAGATGAAGTTAAATCACATTTCAAATGTAAATATTTATCAGAAGAATCTTGTTTGATAGTAATTAAAGCAAATAAGTAAACTTATTATCATGGACCTTAAAGAGCTTAATAAAATCAAGTATAATATTTTAATTTAAACTATTATGAATATAAAAAAATAGAATAGAGTATATGCAAGCAATTATAGTAGTCACATAAAATTGGTTAGTATTTCAAATTAATTCTCAAGCCTCAATAAAATGTATGAAGATTAACTTTTGAGAGATAATCTGTTTGTTTATCCTTTAAATATCCATATTTGTTGTAGATCTACTTATTTATGGCCCTATAGTATATAGTTAATTATTGGAACAAAAACATTACATATAAAATTGAAAATACTCCTCTGTAAATCACAAAAAAAAATGTCTTCTTACTGACGTTGGAATTAGACTTCATACAAGGTACATTTATGTCTGTGTAAACCTACGCCTACAACATCCTGTCTATTGAATTTAGCGACCCTCACACGCTGTGCTGTGTTTAGCGAGGCTGACACAGCGTCACACATCAACGCAGGAACATGACGTATTTTTTTATTTACCAAACAAGGTCACATGACTAATACCGTCTTTGGAACTTGAATGCTAAAAATAAAACTCTGGCATTTAAATGGTGGAGGACAATATGATGACCTAGAAGCCCTATGTTAAACATAGTGAAACATTTATTATAAAGGTATTCAAACCCACACACAAACTACGGGCGAATGTGACATTTCGAAATAATAATATGTGTAGGCCCTATTGCAAAAAAATAAACAAAATTAACACAAACTACTATGAAATAAATCACTTGTGAAATTTTAAAATAATAATATTTGTATTGTAAAAAATTAAATACATTTAAATCGTCTAATGCCAGGTTTACATTAAAAATACAGTGTTTATTTCTATTAAAATTGAAATATACATTCCAGTATTTTAAATTTATACTTCAATATCTATTCTTTACACAGCGATTATCTTGGTGAATAATTAAATCGGCATTTGTTTTGAACAGAAACAATGTGACTATGACAATGTTCCTAAAGAATCGATTAACACTCTTAAATCGAACGCTTAACAATTACGGGCAAATGTGATTGCTTTTTTTTGTTGATACAATAGAATAAGACATACTTATTGAAACCCATCTACAACATGAAAACACTTCGTGCTAAAAGGTATTCTATCTATCTATCTATATATATAAAAAGCAATGTATGTGTGTCTGTGTGTCTGTGTGTCTTTTATGCATTACCACACCTCTTATCACATCGCTGTGAAACTTTGGGAAGTTGTTGAGAATATTCCTGGGGAGGTTTCTGCAAAAAAAAAAAAATTCAAATTCGCAGGGGTGGCGCCCCGGCAGGGCGCGATTTGTTTTTTCTCTATATACGGTATATAAAAATAAAAGTCTTTTTTGATTTCACACTGTTCATCCGATAGGCATGAACCTTTGGGGAGTTCGTTATAACCCTCTAGGGAAGGGTTCTGTAAAAAAAAAATTTAATTTCGCAAGGGCGGCGCCACGGGAGGGTGCGATTTTTCTCTATATAGGGTATATAAAAACAATAAAAGTGAATTGCAGTGACACCGTTCATCCGATAGGCATGAAACTTTGGGGGTGTTGATTAGGACACGCTGGGGAAGGGTTCTGTAAAAAATCATATTTAATTTCGTAAGGGCGGCGCCACAGGAGGGTGCGATTTTTCTCTATATACGGTATTTAAAAATTATAATAGTGAATTGCAGTGACATCGTTCCTCCGATAGGCATGAAACTTTGGGAGTGTTGATTAGGACACTCTGCGGAAGGGTTCTGTAAAAAAAAAATCATATTTAATTTCGCAAGGGCGGTGCCACAGGAGGGTGCGATATTTCTCTATATTACGTATATAAAAATAATAAAAGTGAATTGCGATGACACCGTTCACACGATCGCCATGAAACTTTGGGAACATGTAGAGAATATTACTGGGGAGATTTCTGCGTTAAAAACATTTTCAAATTTGCAGGGGTGGCGCCCCGGCAGGGCGCGATTTGTTTTTTCTCTATATGCGGTATATAAAAATAATAAAAGTGAATTGCGGTGACACCGTTCACACGATCGCCATGAAACTTTGGGAACATGTAGAGAATATTACTGGGGAGATTTCTGCGTTAAAAACATTTTCAAATTTGCAGGGGTGGCGCCCCGGCAGGGCGCGATTTGTTTTTTCTCTATATGCGGTATATAAAAATAATAAAAGTGAATTGCGGTGACACCGTTCACACGATCGCCATGAAACTTTGGGAAGATGTTGCGAATATTTCTGGGGAGGTTTCTGCGCTAAAAACATTTTCATATTCGCAGGGGTGGCCCCGGTAGGGCGCGATTTGTTTTCTCTATATATATGGTATATAAAAATAAAAGTCGATTGCGGTCTCACAACTTTCATCCGATAGCCATCAAACTTAAGGGACTTGATTAGGACACTCTAGGGAAGGGTTCTGTAAAAAAATCATTTTTAATTTCGATGGGTGGTGCCACGGGAGGGTGCAATTTTTCTTTCTGTACGATATATAGAAATAAAAGTCGATTTTGGTTTGACACCGTTCATCCGATAGGCATGATACTTTGATGAGTTCATTAGAACACTCCAGGGGAGGGTTTAGCAAGGGAGGCGCCACGGGAGATTGTGATTTTTCTCTACATGTGGTATATAAAAATAATAAAAGTGAATTGTAGTGACACTGTTCACACGATCGCCATGAAACTAAGGGAAGTTGCTAAAAATATATCCGAGGAGGTTTAAGCAGAAAAAAAAATCACATTCGCAGGGGTGGCGCCCCAGTAGAGCGTGATTTGTTTTTTTCTCTATATGCGGTATATAAAAATAAAAGTCTATATTTTTTTTTTAATTTCGCATGGGCGGCGCCACGGGATGGTGGGATTTTTCTCTATATACAGGTATATAAAAATAAAAGACGATTGAGGTTCGACACAGTGTATCCGGGTGCCATAAAAACTTTAGGGAGTTGATGAATACTCCCGAAAAGATTTCTGGGGGTTGGACGGGGGTGAGTGGTGGTGGGAGGGGGGATTTCATTTTGCATGGGCTGCCCCCCCCCCCCGGCAGGATGCGATTTAGCGCCCTGGTCTTTCCCGTGAGCGCTATGGCGACTACGTTTGGTCTAAACAGTGTGACAGACAATGGATAGGATGGGGTGTTACCAACGCTGACTAAAATGAATCAGGCGTGTCCGCCGGCACCCTGGTATGATGCGATTTGGATGCAAAAAAATATTTCAGTTTCCATCCCCAAAGGCTCAGTTGGGAGGCCATGTAATATATTTTATTTTAATAATCAGAAAAAATAACCAAGTTTAGATTATTAACTGGGATGTTTCTTTTTGTCCGTAAAAAAATCCAAACAGTTTCGTCACTTTGCGAATGATGCTATTAGCATCTATTTTTAGACAATACAATCAGAAATTGAGATCGAGCATGTAATAATAGACCATTAGTAACGCTAACATATTGCATCAGTCACACTGATGTTTGAAACACGTGAAATAATTTTTTTACGTGCTAAAGAAAAAAATCCTGTTCATTTGTGTCACTTTAGCGAATGACGCAATCTGTATCATTGTTAACAGGATGCTATTTGGCACGATGGCGCCAGTTAGTTTTAAGGAGCCAGGGGCCGTACGTGGCGCCTATGCGGTATGTAATCGAAGGGGGGGGGGGGTTCCTGAGAGCGCCCCTCTACGTCCCTGACACATGGGTGGTAACCGAAGTGTGTTCTACCTGATTATTTCGGTGGGTGATTAATGTACACATAAGGTTTCCACGCGGTAGTGTAGGTAAACCCGTGTCCCGGTGTTTATGATCCAAGCGCAGGCATTGTATACATTTAAATAACTCACTTTTAGAAAACAAGGTTACAAGTCTAAGAATATAGGATTGGTAACGTATGAATGAAACCCTTCTTCTATCCCCGCGGCAACGCGCGGGGACGGGTACGCTAGTATATAATAAATGTAAAAATAATTTATTTGAAACTAGATCAAATATTCATGACTCCTATTGCCGTGGTATACATTGGATTCGCTTAGTGAGGTGATACCTTAGGGCGTGTACCAGAGCGTTAGCTGAAGTGGTCAAACGAAATGCTGAGCAAATGTATTCACACTATAAAACATAGTGAAATGTGCACCTATCGTCATCAATTTCATTATTTCACTATTGACACTTATTAAAGAAATTATATTTTAATAATAAATGTAATAAGTTGAGTATTTTAAATTCCTTTTTAATAAAAATTACAGTAGTTCACCAAGCTTGAAAAGAAAATTGATAGATTTAGCCACAAATGTTATCTGCAATATTAGGTTATTAACTAATTTAGCTATCGGCTCTTCTAAACACGATTCAAATTTTAATTTTACTTCTTAATTTTGCTGAATGAGACATAATTACTCTTACCAGACTATACGGTTTGAAAAAAAAGCGACAAAAAACTGCTAACAAGCTAATTATATTTATTTAAACATTCTCTATAATTTGACTACATAAGGTTACTTGATGAATCACCTATTGACAAAACAAGCTGAAAAGGATGAATGTAAATTTTGGCGAAATACTGGTTAGCAAAATACATTAGCAACATCTGTCAGAAGATTTGAACTAGGGAATTATAATGTGAGGGGATATGCGCTTTCCCACCTCGACCATGCCGATTTAATAATGACGTTTATACCTAGAAAATTGCCAAAATAAAAGTTTTTATTTGACCTAAATTATGAAGATGCTGCAACATGCTTGTTCAGCTATTCACAAAAGCTTTTTTATAGTACGCTTTAAAAAAAAAATTATAAATCCGTCGTACATTTAATATTTCTAATTGTAACTAAATTCTCAGTTTGTTAATCATATTTCGAAATGGTTACGCTTTTGTCTGATGTTGTTAACGGTACGTGTTATAAAAAAACTAAGACCTTGAATGTATTTAAAAATATGTAGGCGTAGATGTATATTGCGTACTATTACGTTACACATTTCTGGTTTTACCGATACAATTATAGATAGCTACGTCACGGATTATATTTAGATCATTGATCTAGAACGTAAGTTTGACTAAGCTTGTTTTCAATCTATTTTTAGGTTACGATTCTGCACTACTTGACATAAAAGGTTGAAACATATTAATAGACTAGGAAGTCCTTGTACAATGACGTTGCAGTGGCATACATTTAAAAGATGTGGAACACGGTTTAAGTTTTAATCAAACAAACACATGTTTTAATTATAAATTATTTATTTTAAGATTTTATTTTTTAAATTAATCAATTAACACTCATACACAAACTAGCCTTACTGACAATAAATAAACCTTTATGCTGAGTTATCTCGTGTATAAAAGATTCTTCTGTTGAATGAATGTATTATATTATAGTGCATTTAATAAAAAATAAATACGTAATAAAACCCTTCAGCAGAGGGGTTTAGATCAAAAGTATCTAGGCG